CCCCAGTTAAATGTTTTCCTTTCTAAGAGTTACTGTGGTCATGCTGTCTCTTCACAGCAATAGAAACCCTAACTGAGACAGCATCCTTTATTCCTTTCCCAAATTATGTTTTCTGTGCTGTTCAATAAACACAGAGCAAAGCCTTGTTTGGGAGAGACAGACAACACACAGACACCAGACACACACAACAGACAGATGACAGACAGACCACGGAAAACAGACAACAGGACAGACAAAAGACACAGTGGAAGAAGTGGAGAATTCAAATCTGAGTTCACTCTTGGTCTAAGTTACTCCAAGAGGAAAAAAAAAAATCTCTGTATTCTTTAATGCAGCTTTGAGGCATTGTGCCTCAGCAAACTATCAGCTCAGGTTTGTTTTGTTCCAAGGCTTACATGATGAGTTTTAAGAGCCAGAATTTAATAATTCTGCTTCCATTTTGTTACTGATAAAATGGAGGCCCAGAAAGGTTAAAGGCACAATTCTCATAATGTACAGGTCCAGTCACATATCCATAACTGTTATACAATACAGTTGTTTATCTTTTAATTTACAAATAGCCAACCATGTGGTAATAATCCTAGAGAAGCCTGAACTTAAAATGGCTCCTTGACATCAGCCACATTTTAAGTCTATGGAAACCAGGAAGGTGGCACTTTTCAAACTCTTCAAGACCCAAGGAATGCCTGCAAGTTTAGACATCACAGTTCATCCATGAAGCTGCCTACCTAGTGCCACTGTGTTCCGGGCAAATGGGTGTGGCTCACTGCCCGCTTACCCTGAAGGCTGCTGCTTCCTGATCTCCACTCCCACCCAGCCACCTTTCCTCATCCCTGGCTACACGCCTACCCTATCTTGCAATTCCTCCCAGGATGCCCATCATCCTAGAAGTCCTAGCAGGACACACATTGGCCACAGGAACCAGACAGGCAGGCAGACACATGCTGCTGTGGGTGGAAACTTTCTCTCATCCCGGAATACCTCCTGCGTGGGAAAGGAAAACTCTCACAAAGTCTGACAAAAATGAGTGTCTCCAGGCCCTTTCTGTATTATAGCCTCTGGTTTAGCTGTTGCCAAAGCTTGACAGGGGCCGGGAACTCCTCAGATGGGTGAGCTAAGGTGGGAGACTTGGAGCTGTCACGATTAACACATGTCTCTGCCCAAATCATGCAGGTTTCTTGCTGGCCAACTGGGGAGTGGGTATATGAAAACCAAAAGAGGGCCAGATGAGGAAGTGTGGCCTGCTCCCCTTACCAAGGTAAAACCATGTCTGCACGCCTGTGCAAAGCGGCTGGCAAAGCCACTCCAGTTTCTCCATTTCATGAGCCAAGGCTGATCTGCACAGTTCCCTTCCATTAGCTTATTCTAGCTCCATAATCTGTCATTTCATTTAGCGAAGTTTCAGATACTTGCATTCAGCCATAGTTTGAAGCTATTAAATAAAGAACCCCTGGGGTAAACAGTTTGTAGGCTTTTACTATCTGCTATTCTGAGTATCGAAATAACCTCATACCCCACCCCTTAACACCCCTCCCCCACCGCTGCTTCTCCTGGGATGTGATTGACTTTCATATCCAGCGTATCCACGTCATAATTTCATCTTGGTTACCAGACTGTCCTTGTGGTATGAGAGTATTCGTCTTCAAGCAATCCTTGATATAGGTAATTTAAATGCACTAAAGAGAATATGTAATGTGCTTCCTTTAAGCACAAAAGGTAAATGTTTCTAACTAAATAAGAAAAAAAGATTGCACGCAGGATGGTCTAAAGTAGTTGATGCCTTTCCGACATATCAGAAGGTCAATGATAGCCTTAGAGCTATGCCACATGCCTGTCCTTCTCAAAGCTTCATCTTGTCACGGAGAAACTGGACCATCTCACATCATCACAAGAAGAAGTGTGAGTATGCATGAAGATATTTTGAGGAGGGGGATTACACTAACAGGTTTTGGTTATAATGATCTGTGGTAAAGTAGGCTATTGTTAATTTTTTATCCTGTCTACTTTAACTAAACTTTCTTATGACCTAGGAGCACATGCCTTTAATCCCAGCACTCGAGAGGCAAAGGCAGGTAGATCTCTATGAATTTGAGGCCAGCTTTATCTACATAGTGAATTCCACGACAGCCAGGGCTTTAAAGGGAAAAAAAAAAAGCCAAAATAATGATAGTGAATTAAACTTTCTCATATCTACTCATATATAGAAAAAAACCTATATATATATATATATTTTGGTACACTCCTCATTTCAAATGTCCACAGAGCCTTGGAACCCATCCCCCAAGGACAATGAGGAGTAAACTGATGAGCTGAAACTAAGAAGCAGTTCGAGACGCTTGGTACTCTCTGTGTCCACAGTCCAGGCTTGACTTGAAAAGACAGAGCATGCTCTACCCTCCTTCCTAACTAACTCAATTCAGTAGCTTTCCATTGTCCTTAGGATGAGGACTAAAGTGTTCAACTTGACCTCCAGTGCCCCCGGGTGCTTAGCCTCCCTCCCTCCCTCCAGCATCCCCTAGCATCTTACAGGCCTTTCTTTTGGAGCCACACCAACATGCTATCAGCCTGGGACGGGCTCTCCCGTCCACTACGAAGGATTTACCAGAAGGCTGTAGGGGAGTTCCTGAATCAGAGGAAGGGTTGAGGGCCAGCAGATTTAAGAGATGATCAAGAGTGGCAGGTGGGAACACATCAGAACACCAGAATGGGAGATGCCCACACACACCCTTTTTATCACTCCACTAGAGACCCAAAGATTCTGACAATGGCCATAGGCCCGGATGGCTTGATCACATGTTCATCTTTTCTCTAGGCCGCCTTGAAGAACAGTCACCAGATTTTTGTTTGTTTGTTTGTTTGTTTTCGTTTTGTTTTTGGAAACAATCTCTTGTATAAGCTGGAACTTAATATTTAGATGAGGCTGGCCTCACACTCAGAGAGAGCTTCCTGACTCTATTTCCCAAGTGTTGGAATTAAAGGAGTTGTACCACCATACCCAGCTCCATAAAACTTCGTTATTTGTTTGTTTGTTTTTTTTCTTTTAAACATTTTCCTTTTATTTCAAATGTGCAAATGCTTTGCCAGTACATATGTAATGGCACCTAGTGCGTGCATTCCCTGAGGAAGCCAGAGAGGGCCTCAGACAGCCCAGGCAGTTGTGAGCTGTGTGAGCGCTGGACCATGAGCCTGGGTCCTCCGCAAGCCTAGCCAGCCCTCTCACCATGGAGCAGTCTCTCCAGTCCCCTTATCGATCTGTTCACAGGTTAGACAAGCACTGGCCAGGTCCTAAGCCGTGGGCTCATGCCCCTGTGTAAAGCTTGAGTGGAAGGTAACCCCTTGAAAGGAAACTGGAGATCCTGATTCTCCAAAAGGAAGAAGAGTCGTGGCAAGATGACCTGAAACTTAAACACATCCCCAAAACCTACCTCTATTTCCCACCCTCTGGAATGCCTCGCTCCCCACTCTGCAGTAAGTTAGTCCTGCTCGAAGTTCGGTTTCCATCATGACTGTCTCCCCACTGAAGAAAGCCTCCCTCACTTTCATAGGGGACTGGAGCTCTTTATTCTGTTATTTCACAGCACTACTTCACGGCGCTGTTGCTACGGCTATTTTACACAGGCCGTGAGCACAGAACTGGCATCGGATTAGCTGGCTGTGCTGTACTCCCCAACCCTTGCACAGTGCTCGAAAAGCAACCAACAAACACCCACTTGATGGAAAATCAGGTTACATTCCCCCCCCATTGGTATTAATTAGGCCATCTCTCCCTCCAATAAAACACCGTAAATTTTAAAAGCAAATTTCAATTCAAAGACGTGCTTTATTACATGTTTTTTTTTTTTTTCCATTTAATCTTTTCAACATTTTGGGAAGAACTTACTTTATATATGAGGAAAGTGAGACCTAGGGAGTGAAGAAATTGGTTTAAACTCAAATGCCCAGCAAAATGGTTCAGGGGAGCTACAAACCCTAATTCCAAACTCAAAGCAAAGTAAAAAAAAAAAAAAAAAAAGTATTATATAATACTGCCTTTCAACATGTGTCAATATATAGCTTTTTCATTGTAAAATAAGATTCTAAGTACATTTATTTTCATGCATCTGGGAGCAGTACCACACATCTGTAATCCCAGCATTCAAGGAGGCAGAGGCATTAGGATCTCTGAGTTCAAGGCCAGCCTGTCCTGGTCCAGGACAGCCAGGGCTACACACACAAAAAAAAACCCTGTCTCAAAAAAAAAAAAAGTTTTTTATGAAAACCTAGGCATGTCCCATAAAAATTAAATTTTTGAAATAGTGGGACATGAAGATAAATTTTAAAAAAACCTCTAAGTAGATACAATTTGATAGAGAATTTTTTATTCTTGCTTTTAAAAGCAATATTTTGACCCCCTGCCCCAAGACAGGGTCTTTCCCTCCGTTTCATCTTTCATCTTTTGCTTCTGTCTCCCAAATTCTGGGATTACAGACACGTGTCGTGTTAACCTAGCCTTTTCTCTTGGAAATGTAATTCTCCTTTTGAGACGGCACGTCACTGTTAACGCTGCCCACTGCTCTTGAACTCCTGGGCTCAGGCGACCGACCCTCCCCTGCCTCCTGGAACAGCTGGGGTTGCAGGTGCGGGCCGGGTCGCCACGTGGGTATTTCTTTGCGGCTGTGAGCAGGGCTGTGAGCTCCACACTGTAGGCGATGGCGGGGGCGGGGCGGGGGGGTGACAAGGCGACGCTGAGAATGACCTTCTTGGAGGTCTCCGTAGGGGAGGGCTGGAGACGGAACTCAGGAGGGAACGGGGAGCAAAGCCAGCGCGAGGGGGCCGCGGGGATGCCTGTGTGAGGAGGGAGGGATAATGAGGCAGGCGTTGCTTTCTCCTTTATTGTAGGGTGGAGGGAGTTCCCTAGATTGGTCAAGACAAGGTCACCGGACAGTGCCTGTGTGATGCTCACGGTGGTGCTCCCTGGCAGTCTCGTGTTTGGGACGGGGTTGGCAGGGTGTAAACGAACAGCAGCGCAGGGGAGGAAGTCATCTGCTGCGTGTTCCCGGATGCTGAGCGCCTGCGGTGGCTTGCTCTCGTCCTTAACGCAGAATGGGTTCCGCCAGCTCCTTGACCCTGGGAGAACACTGCGCTTTCAAAGCAGCAGGCTTCACTCTAAAGACATCTGGATCGTAATATACAATATGCACCGAAGCCCTGGAATAGAAGGAGAAAGGGAAACCAACCTGGCTTAAGGAGAACAGAAAAAGGGGACCCATCCCTTCCAAGCCGGCCCCTGCCCCTGTGTTAGGCATTATTACCCCACTGAGCTTCCCGCCATAGCACAGGCGAGAAAACGAGGCTCAAGACTCTACAAGCATGACCTAGGGGCTGCATGCTGTCAGATTCCAAAGGCTTGTTTTGTTTTGTTTTTTGTTTGTTTGTTTTTTTTAACTTTAGATCAACCTTCTCCCTTTCTCCATGCCCCCACCCTTCCTTAAACTGCCTTACCTTGAACTGAATCGTAAATTGCCATACCTTGCTGGCGGATGAGCTAGTTCCCGGACTCTGTCAGACACCTGAGAGTGAGCAGCGGCATGAGATACAGGCCATCGGGGATCTCGGGCAGGGAGGTAGTCTTCATGAACAGGTTTGGACTTTGCTAGGATTGTTGTTCGGTCACTGGGTCTGGCAAGCAGGGCAGCAGGGGCTATCTGTGTGTGTGTGTGGGGGGAAACAGACACAAATCTCCATCCCAGAATTCCCCACGCTCTCCTGTCTTCCTCATGGTTCTCTCCGGGATTGTTTGGGCCCAGAGGGGAGGCAAGGAGGACCATCCACCCTAGTGATCTCCTTCCCTCCCTTCTTAGCCCAAGCAACCCAGCCTTCCTCTGATGTCCACTGCGCCACCAGCAGCTCTGAGTGACTTGCCTCCATCATATTCCTGCTCCATCCTCACAACCCTCCTCCAGGCAAGCACTTTCTAAAGCTAAGGTGGATCGCACCGCCCACAGGTGGTAACCCCTACGTGGTACCCACGTTTTTGCTGACAGTAACGTAGGTTCCTTCCTGTATTTGCAGACCTGAATGTCACCCCCTTTCTCTGAGCACAGCATTCCCTCCCCTATCAGGGACACTGTGATCCTTGGCAGCCACACAGAGCCTCTGTCTTGGATCTTTCTGCCTCAGGACCTCTCCACTTGCTAGCTCTGCTTGAGACATCTTTCCTCAGTCTTGGCTGATGCACATTTCCCTCATTTGTCTCTAGATTCAGATGTCAGGCTCTCAAGGAGGGTCTCCTGATCTTTGGAAACAGACCACCCTTCCTAATGGACCTTCTCTACAGTATCTATTTGATCCTTCTGTTTGTCCGAGACAGTCTTACGAGCCCTGGTGCCTTGCTCATGCTGTACAACTCAATTCTGCCTCAAACCTGAGATCCTCCTGCCTCAGGCTCCTTAGCACTGAGATAACACATTTGGCACCTGTTAAGTAACAGATCCTGCACTAGCTACTGGCAGACAGCCTACCCTGAGCAGTCCATGTTGTCATGGAAAAAGCAGAAGATAGACAAATGGGTTTACGCTGTAGATACACATTATGAGGAAAATCACGCGAGCCAGGTACCAAGTGAACACATGTTGCCTGACTGTTCTCTTGTCTTAGTTGGAAAGTCACGCTTCCCATATTGTCTTTTTATTGTTACTTTATTGGTAGAGGGAGTTGCTGCAGTCCTCCCGTGACGAGCTCACTGGAAAGAGCAGAGACTCGCACCCAGCTCACTGACTTCAAAGCCCATCTTCTTTGCCTCAGCTCTTCTGCCTTTCCCCTCACCATGTCCTTAGGCCCTTCTACTGACCACCACTGACCACTTTCAACCTGATCTTTTCCAATGATTTTTGATTACACCTTGTTGAGGCAAAAAAAAAATAACATCTTAGCAACCAGAAAGAAAGCCAATGAACGAGTGAGGCAGGGATGGCTTACGGGACGGATGGGCAATTCACTCTTCTCTCTCTCATAGCACAGACCCTCTATCTTGATCCTTGGATGAGCAAGGTCCACAATCCTTGGACTTGCAATAGCAGTCAGGGTAGAAAAGGAAATCTTGGTTTCAATCTAGGAGAGAAAAAGAAAACAGCCTGTCCAGTTCAGCATTATAAACTACGGTCTGAGCTCTCGAGTAGGCTTCTCAACAACTAAACAGAGAGAACAGGGATCCTAAAGCGGCCTCCAACAGGAGCAGCTTCCATCTTACTGAAACTGGACTGCACATGTTCCAAGCCAGCCTTTCACAGATTCTATTTTTATGTGGCAGACACAGGAGAAACAGCAAAGGACGTTACCTCTTAACTCAAGAGATAAGTGGTAATGCCCATCTTGTGGCCTGAGAGTGTCAAGCCAAGGTCTGGTGGGAGGGCTGAGTAGGTAAAGGGCTGGCCGTGCAAGCCTGATAACCTGTGTTCAAGCCCTAGAACCCGCTTCAGGGTAGAAGGGGAGAACCACAGTTCTCTTGCCTCAAAAGGGTGTCACAGCATGGCTGCATATGCGCAGGTGCTTACACACACACACACACACACACACACACACACACACACGTAAATAGATGTGATGAGAAATTTGAAAGTAAATGTGAAGTCAGCCAAGAGAAGGTACAGCTGTATCATATGAGAAGACTGTGTCCTGCTTTTAACCCTTTGGGAAAAGGAGCTTTCAGCACCACAGAGCACCATAGTGAAGAACACTTACCAAAGAGGCCCTCTCCTAATTGAAGCAAGCAAGAAAAGCAGAGAAAACCAAGAAGAAAGCAGAAGCATGCATCTCTGCTAGGCAGCTAGTTAAGATTTTAGCAGGTTTGGGGCACTTTGGGGCAGGACTCTCCCTCATCGTCCACAGACTATAAAACAAAGAACCGGAAGAGTGGCACTCATTTAGGGGTGGGAAGAATTGGATGAGTCCTATTTCTGTCCCTGAAGAGACATAATGCCCTGAACTGTCCAGAAGGCCATTAATGAATAAACTGTGTAAACCCAAATCTGGGAGCCACAAACCTCCTAGGATCAATACCTAGCGAGAGCCTCTCTGATGACAAACGAAGACAGAATGTTATTACAGCCCCTAGTGAGGGTATAAAGTGACCCAGGCTTGCCTGTCGCTTATGCAGGACAATGTCTCTCGGGAAAAGCTCCTTGTTCTAAAGACTATAGGAAATAGTAGAAAGCCTGTGTAAAATGTAGACAAGACAATAGTCTCTTTGGCCATTACCTGCTCTCATCCCTTGAAAGTACAGTATATATTTTTAATTTTATTTTTTAAAGAATTTTCTTTAGAATTATTTATTTTATGTGTATGAGTGTTCTGTCTGCATGTATGTCCATGTACCTCAGGCGTTTCTGGTGCCCAAGGAAGTCAGAAGAGGGTGTCAGATCCTCTGCAATTGGAGTTATGGATGGTTGTGAGACACCATGTAGACAGTAGGAATCAAACCCAGGTCCTCTTCAAGGACAAATGCCTTAACCACTGAGCCATCTCTCCAGCTCCAAAAGTGTAGTTTATTTTATAAACTCAGCCTGTCTCCCACACTGTATTCTATGTGTCTTGTCTGAACTCTGAAACCAGAGATCAGGGAACTAAAGGATCCTGATACTGCCTCCAACAAACCTGGAAGTCAATTGTGAACATTTGCTCAAATCCTGTGTTGTTGTTCTACTTACTCTACCTGTACTTGAGTTTGAAGGTGGTAGAGCTCTGATGAGCTGGTTCAGTGGTTCAAAGCACTTGCTGTTCTTATAAAGGCCCAGGGTTCATTCCCAGCACCCACCTGTGATTCACAACCACTTGTAACTCCAATTCTAGGAGATTGGCTGCCCTTTTCTGCCCTCTACTGTCACCAGACATGCAAGTGGTACACATATAGACATGCAGGCAAAATACCCTTACACATGAAATGAAGTACATTTCATTTATTCATTTAAAATGATTTAAAAAAAAAGAATTTGAAGGGGGAATGTAATAATCAATGGCACCGAATGGGATGTTAATTGCAGGCAGAAAACAGTAAATTGTTTTCCACATCTGTTCCTGTGCTGTTTAAGTAAAGATGACAGTGGTTAAGTCATCAGTGACAGCATTTTATGTGCACACTCAACAACTTATTCCTCGCCTGGGTTGTTGTTTCCATTCCTGTTCCACTGACGGAAGTGACCAAGGCACTGAAGGTTCAACAGTATAAGTTTGTGTAATTAGGAAATGGCAAAGTTGGGATTCAAACTGAGGACCGTGCATGTCCCAACACCATGAAGAACTAATTAGGCATTTAGAGCATTTCTTATGAATAAAGCTTTGTCTGCCACAGGGCCCTAGGCAAATTGAAGGAATATGTCAACTTCTGCCTTTAATTAAGCCTTTCAATCAAAGGGGGAATAAAACAATCATTCATTAGTCAGTTATATAAAGTAAAACAGAACAAAGAATAGAAAAACACAATGGATTCTAAGCTGTCTGTGGAAATGCAGAAGGCCTACCACAGTCAAAACTCAAGTGAAAATGTGAACAAAAATCGAGGTCTTACATTATCTCATTCAGTTTAGAAGTGTTTGTTCTAAAACCCATACGATATAGTGATCATGTAAGAATAGACAAGTTAGAAATTATAATATTCCAGAGTACATAAATGGACCCAAGACAGTTGAACAGAGAAAAAAGAATGATCAAATTGTGTGAATATCCATGTGGAACCAAGAGAAACCTCCATCTCTACTTAACACATGCCAAAGAAAAAAATTACTTCAAAGTAGATCATATATATTTGATTATTACAAATGTAAAACTTAGAAAGTTTCTAGAAGAAAATTTAGGATATATTACAAGCTAGAAACAAAACAACATTTCTCAGGAAACCAAAACATAGTCAACATAAAAGAAACAATTAGGAAGGTAAATTATATAATTTAAAACTTTTTTTCTAATAAAAATACCATTAATAGCTAAGCCGTGGTGATGCACACCTTTAATCTTAGCACTGGGGAGGCAGAGGCAGGTGGATCTATGAGTTCAAGGCCAGCCTCATCTCAGCGTGAGTTCCAGCATAGCCAAGGCTACACAGAGAAACTTTGTCTTAAAAACCAGAAAAAAAAAAAAGATTAAAAATGGAAATGGTGGCTCACATCTATAATCCCAGTATTCAGAAAGCTGCGTCAGGAGGATCATTGTTAGTTTGAGGCTAGTCTCTGTTATATAGTGTATCCCTGGCCATTCCGGGCTACAGAGTAAAGACCTTGCCTCAAAAGCCAACCAAATCAAAACATATATTCACAAAAATACCTGTACGTGAATGTTCATAGCAAATTGCAGTCCACATAGAAATATCTCAAATGTCCATCTAAGGTGAATAACCAAACCATGATGTACTTACACAATGGAATAAGAAGAAACAATTTACTAGTATGATTTACAGATTCTACAGAACATGTTTTATGATCCCATTTACATCAAGGTATGAGCAGACAGTAGGAATCTAAATCAGAAGTACATCTACAGCAAGGGTTAAGCTTGGAATTGAGAGGAAATAGGAGGAAACCCTAAAGAAATACTGAAATGTTCTGTGTCTTTGGTTTGCTTTGTTTTCTTCTGAGACAGGTGCCCACTCTTAGCTCAGGCTAGCCTCTTGTCTCAGCCTTCCAAGTGTTGGGATTATAGGCATAAGCCACCAGGTTTTGTAGCCTGTCTGTAGGATGCTTATTAAATAGACTCATGCATTTGTTGATTTATTAACTCATACACATAAGACCTAAGCATTTCATAGAAATTAAAATTCAAGACTTTCAAACTGTGACCTCAGAAAAATAGTTGCATAATATAAAATAGATGAATACCCTTAATATGTAAATAAACATTGTAGATCCACAAAAACATACAGAGAAGTAGAAAATAGAGCATCAACAGATAATTTTATAAAAGAAAACAATATATGGTAAATAAATGTGCAAAACTATTTCAACTTTTAGTATCAAAGAAATGAAAGCAATTGTAAAAGAAATATTGTTTTGCTATACAATTAATATTTTGCAAAATACTATCTAGTGTTAGTGAAAGTGTAGTGCAAAAGAGCCAAATAAAGCAAGCGAATATGTAAATCAAAATCAGTGCTTGAGGAACATTCTAGGATTTTATACAAACCACTCCAAAATACTCACACCCTTTCCTTGACACAGTGATTTTAGTTTTTGAATTTTTATTCTCAGGAAATAATCGCAGAGAGGCATGTGAGTAAAAGTAAATAAAACCTTATAAGGACAGTAAGTGAGACCACCCTGTGTGAGGTCCACAGAATTCAAGCAGGCTACGCTTAGCCCCTTAAAAACCAGCAAGCGCTTAAATCTAAGTGTTGCTGCGTCTGTGGGTTGGCTGTCTGCGCAGGAGCCCACGGGCGCGCTAAGTGGACAGAGAACAGTGCATGGCCAGGAAGTGAGCCTCGAGATCAACACTAGCATCTTCTGTAGACTGTGACAAAGTTTCTGTGAAGAAGGAATTCAGAGTGTCAGCCAGTCGAAGGCTTCCGCTAGTTCACCTGCCCAGTATGATGTCAGGTACCCATGAGCACAAGAGTGACTGTTAACCTTGAGGCATATGTATAGATAGCTATGAAGAATCAATAACAGAATGAATCATTAATCAATAAGACAAATTAATCATGTGTGATAAGCGTTACGTGCAACAAGAATGCAATTTGTACATGGGTCGTAGAACACGTGGAGCACTGTTATACCAGTCTTACATTTTCTGATTTTGATAACAATATTTGTGCTGTTTGTAAAGAAGTTGTCTTGGGAATTAACAAGAAAGAATTGGAGCGTATCAATAGTTCACTCCCAGCAGTTATTCTAAAAGCACTATACAGACACACGCACATGGCGCATGCAGAAGGGAGAAAACAAGAAAGGAATAAAATGATAATCTTAAAATTTGTAGCAAGTTTTAAGCTGCTAATGTAAAATATATGCATACTTAAGTGTGAATATTTAAGGGAATTCGGTCTACTGCATGTATAGCTGAGGAATCAAGTTAAAATTGTAACAGTAAATGAAAATGTTGTGTTTATTCTTAGAACCTTTTTTTTTTTTTTTTAATAATTTCATTTGGACCTAGAGGAATCAGGACCTGGATTCAATTCTCAGCATTCGCAAGGTGGTCTGTTTTCTGTTCTGTCCGGAGTAGAGAAGGTGAGGAATCCCACCCACATCCTCCCGCCACATTGAAACCACCAGATGCCTTGCCTTTCCCTCCACGATGGACTGTGTGCCTCAAACTGCCCTTTGTCACGTGTCTGGTCACACAACAAGTTACTGGCTCAGGGAGTGCTGTCACTACTTACGCTCTTTGGAGGGATATAGTTGGGATCGGTGCCTTTGGCTTTGGAAAGCTGCAGAATCCGGGGAGATGGATCAGCGAAACGAAAAGTCCCTGGTACTGGGTGGTCACTGAGGGGGTGATATGCAAACGGAAACAGAGTATGATTTTTAGCTGGAAGAACAATAGCAAGTAACCGGCCACTACAGAATGCTCTTCCAGATTATCATTTCCCACACGAGTAAGTATTCTTTTTTTTTTTTTTTTTTTTTTTTTACCAGTTAGCTGTTTCTCACTCACCCACAGTATGAGATACATTTTATGTGTCATACAGTGTATGCAAATATGCTTGTATATATGAAACAAAATTCTAAGGCACTGTTATATGCAATATATTCTGATTTAATTTTTGAAAATGTTTGATTTCATCAAACAAGGCTAGAATTATATGTCCCATTTTGGATAGTTTCTGACCTATAGTCTGAAAAATCTCTCACTTCCAGCCAACACCTCATAGAAGTTTCTTGAAATAATTAGTTCCCTCAGACACCACTGAGGACGCCCTGTGGGCCATTCTCCTCTGTAGTGCAGTGTGAGATATGCCTTGTCTTAATTTTTAGCCGCTTGGACAGTTATCATGAGCTGTGTACCATATGTTTCTTTCTCTGGCCAAAAATCTACCAATCGATCAACAAATCTACAAGCATGGAAACAGATTTTATCAAGTAAGCAATGACTTTCTAAGGGTAGAGAGATACAGATTTTGTTATTATTATTAAGATATAATTAACGTACATAAAACTTACCCTCCCAAAGTATGCAACTAAGTGGTGTCTAAAATATTCACACAGCTAAACCATCAGCATTAATTTGAGAGCATTGTCATGAACCCAAAAAAGCAAAATTCATATGGTCGTACAAAGGACCCAGAATAATGGAAGACGATCATGAATATGAAGAACAAAGTTCAAAGTCGGTGCATGATTTCAGTGTCTACTAAAAAGCTGTGCTCCTCATGATTGTGTGCTATTGCACAAAGACAAACGGTTAGTGCCTGGATTGAGACCAGCGCTTACTGTCAACCAGCTTCTGATAAGGATATGAATCGTTGCATGCATGTTTGGGATTGCTTTGCTGATATTCTGGTGTGGACACATGTAGACATGAACATATGTGTTTGCAGGAGATACTGGCTGGTAGCTTTTACATTTTGTAATGGATTTTTCTGGATGCGGCAGATTACAAGCAGAAACCATCATACCAGGCTGAGAGATTCCTTTTATCATCTGATAGTTGAGAAGGTTTACTGTGAGTCTTTGCTCCAGCGTACCCAGTCAAATGTAATAGTGGTGAGCCTCTGCCCAGCCACACCTGCTGCATGGATTCAACAGTTTTATCTATTTTTTTTTAAAGGCTTATTTATTTGTTTAGTGTATGAGTGCCTTATCTGCATTTTACACCTGCACGCCAGAAGAGGGAATCAGATGCCATTATAGATGGTTGTGAGCCACTGTGTGGTTTCTGGGAATTGAACTCAGAACCTTTTGGAAGAGTAGACAATACTCTTAACCACTGAGCCATCTCTCCAGCAACTCTTATCCAGTATTTTTGACCATGAACAACCTTTTCTCTCAGACTAAAGCTGGAGCTTCAGTATTGTGACACTTGAGCAAACTATATCAGGAATTCTGGAGAGTCAAAATGTTGTACCAAGTTGGCAGAGACCGTAGTTTGAATTTGTTGGGTTTTGCCAGCTTCTGGATCCTTTTAGAAGGCCGGGTGCTTTGCGAACGTGGAGGGATTTCCCAAATGACAGACTCTCTCCCACAGCTGTAGTAATACTGAGCCCTGCACGTTGAAGAAGAGAAAAAGAAATCGGTGTCATGTGAATTCAGATTATTACCGGATTCTCCAGCACTGATGGCCAGGCCTAGGAGAGCAAGCACGGCGGAGCTTACGCATGTACTGCTGGGCTGTTTCCCACGTGGGGAGAAGTAAGTTGTTTTAGAAATGGTTACAGATGGTTACAGCTCTCAAGTTTTGAGTTAGTTTCTATTATCTTACTCTAAAACAGGTAGTTTTCTTTTTCCTTTTTTTAGTTTAGTTTTTTTTTTTTTTTTTTTTTTTTTTTTGAGACAGGATTTCTCTGTGCCGCCTTGGTTCTCTTGGACCCACTTTGTAGACCAGGCTGGCTTCAAACTCACACCGACTCACCTACCTTTGCCTTTCTGAGTGTTGAGATCACAGGTGTGCACCACTCTGCCCAGCTCAGGTAGTTTTCTTTAAGAAACAATGTGTATCTTCTAAACAAGTGAGGTCTACTATTGAAAGGAGAAAATTAGCTGTCCTTAAAACCAAATACCTCTACGAGTGGGTCCGCACACCTGTAAATCTCGTGCTCAGAAGGCTGAAGCGGGAGGATTCCATTTAAGATCAGTTTGGGCAAGATACACACAAACACCCCATCTGAAAAGAGAAGGAAGGAAAGGAGAGAGGGAGGGAAGGAAGGAGGGAGCGGGAGAAGGAGGGAAGAAGGGAAGGAAGGAGGGGGGGGAGAGCAGGCTCGCTGGCTTGTTTGGTGGGAGGGTATCCTGGCCCCATGTCAGTGTCTCAGCCGTGCGGTGATTGTGTGGTGCGGTGATCTACATGGTGAGGAGCAAGGCTGAAATCTCTGTCTATGAACCTAAGCGTGACCCGCTTCCTTCTGATGAACATACCTGAGGCCCTCAATGAGGGAGGAAAAGGCCAAACTTTCAGCGCACACCTTGTCACACTGCCCATTTTTCCGAGCTTCCTGCGACAGGACCACATGAAGATGATGTGCGGCTGTACCACAATGTTAGCTGAAATGATGAGCTACACTGGGCTTGTTAGGCCTCTTGCTCCTACAGAGTCAGACTTTGACGGCCCTCAGGAGAAGATGCTGCTGGCGGAAGGAGGACAGGGTCCACCACCAGGGAAGAATTTGCCAAGGTGAGGCAAGCACCGCAGCCAGACAGCCACGTATCTGACCGTTTGAGAAGACTCGTTGGCCTGCACTCCCCACCCCGTGGAGTTTTTCTCCAGCGGCTTTCTTCTCACCCTGTTCTCTGATAAACTGTGACTTCCGGGGATTTTCTGGAGTGTGAGCAGGAGCTGCTTGGCAGCTTTTTCAAAAGTGTGGTGCAGAGGTCTGATGGAGTGCTCTCTCTGTCTGGAGTTAGGGAGATGGCAGCTCCTAGGAGCAAGGGAAGAACTTCCTTTTCTGTTTGTTACAACAGATCAAGGACTCCTGAGCTAAAAGAGACTGAAAAACTTCACCGAAATTTCATTTATGACTGCACCCACATTGCAGCCCTCTTGCATGGCCTTAGAGGAGCTTGTACAAACAAGTCCCCACTGAGGGGAGCAGAGCTGTTAGAAAAACTTAGGAGAGTAGGGAGTAGCTTCATCAGGTGAAGACTTAAGATGTACAGAGTTCATGCAATCCTACACGCTCAACACAAAGGGCACCAGGATCTCTTACACAGACTAGCCACAGCCCCTCCTATGAGATCTCAAGGAACGATTCGGGCAGGCCTAGTGATAAAGCAAAAACGAAATGCATCCCACTCGTCCGTACACCAGAAGGTAAGGGCAGCTCTCCCCTTATCCAGGAAGCTTCCTTTCCGTGGAGGATCATCACAGAAGACCACAAAATACATCTACGATGCAATCCCTATGCTTGGGGCTCAGAGATCATTACGGAAGAGCGGGAGGAAAGACTGTAAAAGCCAGAGGACCAGGTCATCCGCTGAGAGACTGTGTCTTCTGTGTATGATGAGGAAGCTGCTCCTGTGAAATCTCAAAACTGTGGCCGCACACTGACAATCTCCCAAGGCTCTACCCCTAAATGGAGAGCTACAGAACATTAGCGGTGGTTGAGAGAGAAGGGAGATTTGGTTTTCTCTATGGACCCAGCCCCAAGATGTCAGCCCTAAGCATATATACACAAACATGAACAACTTTAAATGGACTTATTGGGCTGTAATTACATATAATTACTGCCCTATACATACATATGAGGTCATAAATTTGAGAGGAAGTACAGGAGGAAGAACATGGCTCGTTTAAGTGAATTTCAAGGAGGAAGTCTTTTAAAAGTTTTAGTAGATCTATGTCTATTTAAGTTCAAATTATTTTTAGAAGATTTATTTGTTTGTTTAGTTTGTTTGTTGTTTGTGTAGTTCAGTTTTTTGAGACAGGGTCTCACAACGTAGCCTAGAGTGGCCTGGGACTCACTAGGTAGACCAGGCAGGCTTGCTTCAAACTTAGAGAGACTTGCCTGCCTCTTCCTCCCAATGCCTGGATTAAAGGCATCTGCCACCACACCTGGCTTCTACTAGATCATTTAATGGTGCACAAATATGGCAATTTGTGAAGAGAGTGGATTGATTCCTGGCTCAGGGTTGGGGAATTTAACTTTGAATCACGAAAATCAAACAGAGATTCTGCAATAAGGAAACCACATACAAAACATAAATGCTGGCTGGGTGAGGCGGCATATACCTTTAGTCCCAGCACTGGGTTGGGGGAGGGGGACGGAGGCAGGTGGTTCTCTGAGTTTGAGGCCAATCTGGTGTACAGAGCAAGTTCTAAGGCTAAACAGAGAGACCTTATCTTAAAATTACAAGAAAAAAGGCAGTTATGACAAAACCATAAATACTTAACTATTCTGTTTAGATAAATGACAAAAGACATGTGTGTGTGAATGTATGCATAACTTATTGTTTTGTTTTTAAGATTTATTTATTATGTATACAATGTTCTGTCTGCATGTACACCTGCACTCCAGAAGAGGGCACCCAGATCTCATAGATGGTTGTGAGCCACCATGTGGTTGCTGGGAATTGAACTCAGGTCCTTTGGAAGAGCAGTCAGTGCTCTTAACCTCTGAGCCATCTCTCCAGCCCCAACTTATTGTTTTTTTTTTTTTAATACAGTCTTGCTAGGTAGCCCAGGCTGGCCTCAAACTCTGGATCCTCCTGAGAGCTGGGATGATAGTGTAAGACTCTAACTGAAATTAAACCCCCATTTGAGACCCCACTATAATTTAAGATAAGGTCTGGCCTTACTCCGTGACAGGCCTCAGTTCACTGTCAAAAGGAGCAGGCCTAAGTTTCCATTTCCCTGAAGTGGGTTAACATTTACTGGAAAAACCACAGAAAATGGGCAGCCAATCAGAGAGGCTGCCTGACTCTCTGCTGGACCCTCTGACAGGAAAGAGAAAGTTGTTTGACTCATGACCAACCCAAAAGTTTGCTGACCACCTCAAATTTGCCGTGCTTATAAATCTGAATGTTCCAATTATATTAAGGATTACCTAACCCACCCTAAAATTCCCCTGAGTACCTATAATAGAAACCTGTGAGCTCAACTTGGCGGGAGCTCACATAGGCGGGAGCTTGCATAGGCGGGAGCCCCAGTGTACTGGGTTTCTGCAGAATAAAACGCTCTTTGCTGTTTGCACACTATTTAGTCCAGGGCATTTTCTTCAGCGTGCTCCGGACCCTTAACAATAGGAGTTCACCACCACACCAACTAATCTCTCTCTCTTTTTCCTGGAATAAATTTTAGGATACTTTTTTAAAGGTCTAGGGATAGAAGAGATTAAATTTTCCTTTTCCTCCCCCAAAATCCATATATGTAAATATTTTCTCTTCCTTTTGGACCTACAGAACCAAAATGGATTTCCTGTTTGTTAGCATTTATTTAGAAATGATACCACGCACACAACAGATACTGTATGAAAGAGATTTATTGGATGGAGGTGGAGAAACAGAGGAAAGTGGAGGCAAGGGACATGGTGGGCGCTCCAGGAAAGAAAGCAAGGCCGAGAGAGCAAGAGAGGAGCATTAAGACAGGAAGGTGAGAGAGAGACAAAGCGGCGGGTTGGTTCTTTTATAGCTTGTGCATGCGCAGCTGAACCGGGTCTGCTACATACCTGGTGGGGGACACATGATGACATCATAGGTTACTAGGCAACCCAGAAGCAGGCTGCCTATACGCTAACACTGTTATTTTACCTTGGCTGTGTCTCTAGAAAGTGGTAAACCCGCCAAACAGTCATTGCATCTTGCCTCACTTTGTCTCTACACTTTTCACAATAATGTTTGCCGAATTTTACTTAGTGATACTATGTTAAACAGACATGATGGGAAAATGCCAGTAAACACACCAGGGTCACACACATTGTTGAGAGAGGTGATGAAATTAATCATGTATAACTGACATTTTCTTGTTCAGACAAACGAGATAGTTCCCTTTAAGGGTCTTGAAAAAACTGTTTAAAAACTTTAAAAAGCAAACAAATGCCTCAATGAATACAACCTACAAAAGAAAAGAGAAGAAAAAAGAAAAGTCATTCTGAAACAGAAGTCTAATTCAACTAAGATTAGGAAGGAGCCCTGGGGTGCTGGAGGGTTTTGTGTGTCAACTCCCAACCCAGGAAACTGAGTCCCAACCCGGGAGTCTGAGATAAGTAGATACAGATAATATTTTAGAGGCCTTAAATCACAGGAAACAAAACCCTTAGGAGAAGATGTGTTTAGGGAAGGACACTCGGAAGGAAATCTCAAGGGCTTTCAGGAGGGCCAGGGCATGGCAGACAAAATGGAAACATGGACAGAAAAGATCCAAGACTCCCTGAGACCTGAGAGAGGAAGGGCATGGCTGGTCCTCTGAGGGATTTGGGAACAGATTCACAGAGAGAGAGTGAGAAAGAAAAAAAGAAAGAAAGAAAGAAAGAAAGGAGAGAGAAAGAAAGAGAGGAAGGGAGGAAGGAAGGAAGGAAGAATGGAAAGAAAGGAAAGAATGAAGGAAGGAAAGAAAGAGAGAGAAAAAGAGAAAGAAAGAAGGAAGGAAAGAGAAAGAAAGAAAGAAAGAAAGAAAGAAAGAAAGAAAGAAAGAAAGAAAGAAAGA